CATGGACCCCCCACCCGCTGCACCACCACGGCCATTGGCATCATCTTCCACGGCTGCAGCCGCCCCGTTTGCAACCCCAGACGGCACGGACAGGAATCGACGACGCAGGCCGCGTCGGTTCCTCCACACAACGCTATGTCGTTCAAACGCCTGCAAGTGTGACGTCCCCAACACGAAGGTAAAACGTGGCGATCCTGACGCAGGTGCCACGGACTTCTCTTTGGATGCAGCAGCCTGTCATGTCGACACCGAACATTGCGGACCTGACCAGCCTACGCGTCGACGAGACTTGTATGGCGCATCGTCAGACACCAAAGTCACGCACTGGGACAGTCCAAGTCATGCAACCATGCCTTCCCCCGAACACCTGCCGGTTGTCCAATCCGCAGTTCCTTGGTTCAATGCCGCTTCCAGCGCTGCTGTTTGGCAGGGGGTCCAAATGGGTGCAACATGCGGCTTGCATGCCTACAACCATTGCATGGTTTCAGTGAACAGTGTTCGATCGCTCGCGCATACCACCATTTCCAAAGAAGACTTCGAACATGTAGCTCTCACAGCTCGCCTTGGGGATGCCGCCGAGAACCTGGTCGAACCAGGCGGAAGCAATTGCGACATTGCCACCCTAACGTGTAACTTCACGCGCCAGGACGTTGCAACATTTCCATTAACGGCTGAAGAGATTCAAGAACGCTTGGGCCATCCCTTCGCTCCGCACTCCACTGCAGAAGGACTGTTTACGACTGCCGCTTTTCTCCTTCGCACGCCTTCTGCTGGAGGCCATTGGACTGCTTCGTTACCGTGCGCGCACGTCCACGGATTCGAAGCGGCCGCTGCGACAGCCCTGCTGTGCGATTCATTGCATCCTTCTCCGCGCTACGCAGAGAAGGTGGACGTGGAGCAACTGCTGGTTATCTGCGCCTTCGAAGCATCCCGAGCCGTGTCTAGACAGTGGCAGTGTCTTAATAGGAGTTCCGGAGCATCAAGATGTCGTTGGCTGTTGAGCGTCTCCTCGCACTCACGTGCGGGTTGTGCATTCCTCTTCGCCTCGCACTCTTGTACATTACTGTTCGATGCAGTCGTTTCTGCGCGCCCGCTGTGCCAACGTCCAGGGGTCTGCTCTCTGTGCATTTCGCGCAGTGCGTCGAACAGTGTCCTTCGCACGCGGCTTACAACATAAGCCATGCGTGTGGTGCAAGTTAGTTGTGATTTTTAGGCCTGACGTTCTGTTACGAAGCTGAACAGTGCAGCGTGCCCATGGCAACGTTCAGGGCGCTGCTTGTACCCCTCAGCCCAGTACTGACGATGATCTGCTTTGGAAAAATACACCCTTCTCCATTCATGTGCATCGCGTCATTTGCACATAGGGGCCGCACGCAGGTATGCCGAATCCTTGCCGATGTAAAGCTATACGCGCGCGTGCACTCGCACGTTGCCCCCCATCGCAGTCCATGCAGCCTCCCCGGCCCTCGAAGAAACTGCATGAAACACCCCCGCCGTGTCCTGATGATGCTCTCGGGCGTATCTTCGCAACTCTGGGGCCTTCAGGGTTCTCGCGGGGGCCCCGCGGACCACAGGGGAGACCCCCCAATAGTCTGCTAATCAAGTACGTAGTGGCCTTTGGACAACTCCATGCGGGGTCCTGTTTTGATTGTTGGGACTTCTATATGGGCGATGCTTGGGATGCCCTAGAACCCTCAAGGCCGTCATGAAACACCCAAAAGGCCCGCCACAAACCCCGACAAGAGTTCACAGTCGAGTCAGGCGTGGAAGTCCCCACGTTGCTTGACCTCAGGCCCCTCCCCTTCTCTGGCCAGCGGGGGGGGGGGGAAGACCGATGTCACGGAAGCGGTGCTTAGGATTCGTGGTCATGTGCGACGCGGCCGGGACAGGGATTAACAAAATGGGGTCCCCCCCGGGAGGTGAAGGAGGGAAGTGTATTTGGTCAGAACGTCGGTGGAATGGAAAATAGCACCGGGGGTATTGACAAATCGTCCCAGGCCGGAACAGGGATTAACAAAATTGCCCCCTTGGGGGGGAGGCGGGGGTGTTTACTTGATCAGAGTCTCAATGGAATGGAAACTAGCACCAGGGGGGCCCCGGGGGTGCTAACAAATCCTGCCCCCCGCCCCCCCCCGCCAGCTGGCCGAGGTGGAAGTTAAATGTCACAGAGTCGGTGCAGAGGACCGCCGACGGAGTCTCCGTGGAATGGAAAACAGCTCCGGCGGATGTTAACAAATCGTGCCCCCCCCCCCCTTCCGAGCGGCCGGGGGGGAGCTAAATGCATAGAGCTGGTGCGCTGGATTCGTGGTCATTGGGCACGCGGCTGGGACAGGGATTAACAACATGTCCCCCCCCCTCTGGGAGGGGAAGCGGGGGAGTTTACTTCATCAGAGTCTCGGCGGAATGGGAAATTGCACCGGTGGGTGTTATCAAATCGTGCCCCCTCCCCCGCTCCGGCCTGCCGGGAAGAAAGTCAAATGCGCGGAGTCGGTGCGGTGGATTGCCTACAGAGTTTCGGTGAAATGGAAAACAGCACCGGGGGCTGTTAACAATCCGCGCCCCCCTTCTCCGGACGGATGATGGTGATAACGGTGGGTGAGGGATGCTGAGGACGAGGAGGGAAGGGGGGCGGAGGATGAGGAGGGCTAGAGGTGAAGAAGGACGAGAAGGAGGTGGAAAAATAGAAGGAGGGGGACATGGAAGAGAGTGGGGATGATGATGATGATGATGATGATGATGATGATGATGATGATGATGATGATGATGAGGAGGAGGAGGAGGAGGAGGAGGAGGAGGAGCAGGGATCTTCTTCGAGGAAGCGGCGTCGAGGAGGAGGAGGACGATGATGAGTAGGAGGTCTTGGACAATGGGGACATATAGAACGGGGAGAGGTGGAGGAAGACGACGACGACGACGACGACGAGGAGGGGGTCGGATCAACGGATGATGATAATGGTGATGGTGATGGCGACGACGACGACGACGAGGACGAAATCTCGACGATGACGTCGATGACGACGACGGATACGATGGCAACTCCAATGCGTATGATGATGATGATGATAATTATGCTTATGGTGGCGACGAATATGTTGATGATGCATACGACGGTGATGACGGTGGTGCTGATGATGCCGACGGCGGCGATAATGATGATGATGATGCTGATGATGCTGATGATGATGATGATGATGATGATGATGATGTTGATCATGACGATGATGATGATGATGATGATGATGATGATGATGATGATGATGATGATAATGACGACGACGCCGATTCTGATGATTGTGATGATGGTGATGATGATGACGACGCTGATCATGATACTGATGATGATGATGATGATGATGATGATGATGATGATGATGATGTTTTTGGTGATGGCGGCGGCGGCGACGACGGCGACGATGAAGATGTGCCAAGCTAGAACCTAAGCGCGCGCGAAGCGCGCGCGTGGTTCTAGTCTAGTATATGCGTCGTGGCCGGCGCTTTCTGGCCATGCCGCTCGGAAACCCTATGCTACAAGGTGGGTCTCCTATATGTTCGTGTCGGACGCGCCTCGACAGAGGATATCTGTACAAATGTGTATGTCTGTCTGTCTGTCTGGCTGTCTGTCTGTATGCATGCATGCATGCATGCATGCATGTCTGTCACTCTGTCTGTCTGTCTGTCTGTCTGTCTGTCTGTCTGTCTGTCTGTCTGTCTGTCTGTCTGTCTGTCTCTCTGTATATATGTATGCATGTCTGTGTGTATGTGTGTATGCATGCATGCATGCATGTCTGTCTGTCTGTCAGTCTGTATGTATATGTATGTATGCATCTGTGCGCGTATGTATGTATGTATGTATGTATGTATGTATATATACACATGTATATATAACACTATATCTATGTATCGATGTATGTATGTGTGTGTTTATATGCATGTATGTATGTCTGTATGTATGGATGTATGCATATGTACACACATATATGTATGCATTTATGTATGTATGCACATCTGCATGTATGTATGTCTGTACATGTGTTCATACGTGCGTATATATAAATTGGTGCGCGCATATCTGCGACATGTATACACAGGTATACGAACACATGCACATGTATAGGTTGGTATTTACATCTGCTTACACACATATATGTATTGATACATTATATATTTAATCACATACACATATTCATACATATATATTCATATATATGTATAGAATCAATCGTACTGGTTTGTCTGTGTGCGTCCCATGAAGGGCCTTGGTGGACAAGCGCACGTTGGCGCCAGCGCCCCGCTCTGAGGATCATCGAAAGGCGGGCGCTGGACCTCCCTCGGGCCAGCACGGCTGCTAGCGCGGACGAGCCGCCCGTCCCCCCTCCACCTTGCTGGCACCCGTCCGCCCTGGCGGCGAGCCCCAGAGGATCGAGGAGCAGCAGATCTCATCAACATAAGAGGAGGAGGAGGAGGAGGAGGAGGAGGAGGAGGAGGAGGAGGAGGAGGAGGAGGAGGAGGAGGAGGAGGAGGAGGAGGAGGAGGAAGAAGATGAGGAGAGGAGGAAGAAGAGAGGGAAGGAAGAAGAGGAGGAGGAGGAGGAGGAGGAGGAGGAAGAAGAAGAGGAGGAGAGGAGGAGGGGAGGTCCGCACGGAGGTCCGCACGGATTCCTTGTATCGGCGCTGGGCTCCCCTCCCTGGCGCGCGGAGCGCGCCAGGGACGGCGCTGGAGGCGAAGCCGGGGGCCTCCAGCGCCGATCCGAGGAATCCGTGCGGACCTCCGACCTCGACTACACGTAAGAGTGACCCTTCGCCGGAGTGACCTTTGATGCGCGGCCATTGGGGCCCCCCGATCGTCGCGTGCGGTGCGACGGTAGCGTCTTGCTCGCTTGTGTTTGGTCCCCCCGCGGCCCTCCGGAAGCCGCGCACCAAACGTCACTCTTACCAAGGGTCACTCTTGCGTGTAGCCGACGACCGTTTATCTTGATGTCTTTTGTTGTTCCTCGAGAAGAGGGCGCGCTCCGCGGCAGGCGGCCTGGCCTCGGCGAGCGCGAGAGGGCCCAGTGCTGCGCGGGCCCTGGACCGGCTCTGCAGCGAGCCCAGCCCAGCCCACGCGCCCGCGAGAGAAGGTGCTCGCGCAGGCCCGCCCAGGCCACGCTGGGACCCATACTCGGAAACTGGAGCATATACATTGCCAGTGGCGGGCTGTTCTGCAATCCCAAGACGTTTTGAGGGTCGGCGACGACGTCGGGGTGGTGCGGTGTATACTTGTGTCCCCGTTTTCCCGTGGCAAGAACGAAAATGTATACGCACACCAAAACCCTGTGTACACCAGGATCCGCTTTCCTGTGCGAGTTTCGGTGCGGGGCCAGAAAAAGCGTCGTTGTATAGAGTTCGGCTCCTTACATACATGGGACGCTGTGACTTTTTCAATGCACGGCCTTGGAGCCGGCTGGGGGTCCGAGGTGGCCCAGCAATGGTTCCGGCGAGCAGGAAGGGGGGCGGGGGGGGGGGGGGCGAGGTTCGATTAGGTTCTGGGCTCGACAAGTTTCTTCTTCTCTTGGTCTCCGGGTGCCGTGTTCGGGCCCGGGCCCCGGGACAGTCAAACATGGATTTGGATGAAACATTGCCCCAGATGGACCCCTGGAGGGTCCTGGGGTTGATTTTGAGCGGATCTGCCCTTTATCCCGTCTTCTTCACCGACTTTCTCGAGGTCCATCCAGTTCATACCCCCTGGCCACCTCCAAGCGCGGCCCAAGAGGTCCCAACCCTTTTCACCGGGGCAGATTTCGTCCTGGGTCCATTTCTGAAGGCCATGGGGCCCGAGGCCCAATAACGGGCACCACCCTGACTTTGGATCCGCCGTATTTTGGTTGATTTTACGATGAAATGACCAGAAGTGCACCTCGAACGATGGGGAAAAGTGCGGCGAATACTGCCGCCTCGGAACAGTGTGGCGGATACTTGCGCAAAGGTATGGCGGAAAGAGCGGCATGAAAAGTAGGGCGGGAGTTGACAACGAAAGCACGCGAAACGTGGTGGGGCCGTTTTCTTTGATCCGGAGTCATTTCTGATGGCCCCGGGGCCTGATATGATCGGGCCCCAGGGGCCGAACTTGGGAGGGGGAGGAGGAGGATGGGGGAGGAGGAGGAGGGAGGGAGGAGGAGGAGGGGGAGAGAGGAGCGAGGAGGGAGGGAAGAGGACGGGAGGGAGGGAGGGAGGGAGTAGGGAGGGAGGAGCGAGGGAGGAGGAGGAGGAGGAGGATGGGGGAGGAGGAGGAGGAGGAGGAGGAGGAGGACCAGGTGGAGGAGGAGGAGGAGGAGGAGGAGGAGGAGGAGGAGGACTTGGAGTTGAACTCGATGGGAACCGCTTGCGGAACAGCTCACGCCGTCGGAGACCTGGGCCCGCCCAGGCTACGCCGGGAGAGAACGCCTGTCGGCGAGGAGGGGCGGGCGCCCGCGCCAGGGCAGCGCGGCGAGTGGCCAGGCGGATGCCGCCCGCTGCCGCGGGCCGCGCCGGCAGGCGGCGACGCAGAAGGCCCGAGGTGTGCCCGAGGATTTTCCCCAATCAGTTCGGGCATAGCCAGGGCCCCAGGTAATAGGACCCGATTAGTGGTATAGGGCCCTGGAGCCCTTGAGTTGGCCAGAATCACCAAGCCAGGTCTGACGGCAGCTCCGGTTAGTGGAACGGGGCGGGTGGGCGTCCCCCAGTACACATCACTAAACCAGGTCCCACTATAAACCCAGTTCTGCCAACGCCCAATCAGTGCTTGCACTGAAGGGGTCCTAGCAGAAGTTGGAAGATTTGCCGAAGGTTTCCCGCCGATGTTGGTAGCAGGCTGGGTTCCCGGGTTCCCGGGTTCTGAATTCCTGGGTTCCCGCTTATTGGTTCGTCGGTGGGTTCTGGGTTCCCGGGCTTCCGGGTTCCTGGTCGATCTCCTCAGCGAAAACCATACACTGATTGGGTTTTCACTGGTGTAATTCATTTTTCCTTGTATGAAGAAATGGCGCGTAGAGGTCGTTACCTGGACCAACCTCCCCCCTCCTCCCTCCCCCCGGGTAACGGTACTGACCGCACATAGGGGGGGGGGCTTGCCCCCCCTCCCCACATGCTGGTGCTCGCGCGCGTACTGCGGCGATCGCAGCGCACCCCCGCCCGACCTGGCCCACACCGCGCAAGCGTTACACGACTCTTACCGGAAATACTAGAACACAATCTCTAGCTGTCTCGAGGGGGTAGAGCTGCCTTTCGAAAGACAAAACACGGGATGAACATACTTGCTCGGCGCTCCTCGCGGATTTCTCGGATCCTCGCTGGTCTCCCTTGGTAGCGCCTCTCGCGGAGTTCCTGGCGCGCGGGGCGCGCCAGGGAGGGGGATCCAGCGCCGATCCAAGAAATCCTAGCGGACCTCCGAGAAACTAGGTTTATGCAGTTTTTTGTTCCTCTAGCCTTGTCTCCTTGTCTTTCTTTTCAGCAGAAGTTTTCGGCGCTCACGTCCCTCCTCCGCCTTTTCATCGCGCGCTTGCAATGCCGTGCGCGCCTGTCCCCTTTCTGTCCTCCCTGCGCGCCTGTCCTCTTTCTGCCCTCCCTGCCTCTTCTCTTTGCTTGGCGCTGGCGTTCCCTTCTAGCCACCAGGCCAGGCATTTTCACTGGGAAGTGTTGAGTCGACGCGGGCGCCGGCTTCGGGCTCGAGCGGTGGAGACATGCTCAAGAGGAGCTCTGTGCCCAGCGGTTGTGGTTTCTATATTGTGAAGGAGGAGGAGGAGGAGGAGGAGGAGGAGGAGGAGGAGGAGGAGGAGGAGGAGGAGGAGGGGGAGACGAACGAGAAAGAGACGGTGGAGACATGCTCAAGAAGAGCTCTGTGTCCAGTGGTTGTGGTATCTACATTTGAAGCGACTTGCTGCAGTGTTGCCCTGATCGATGTTGCCCCCCTCTTCCGTTCCTCACCCCTTGCGGCCCTCTGCTCTCTCTTCGTGCCTTCCTGCACGCTCACTTTGCGAATGCAATTAATGGCTTCCTCTGCCCAGCACTGTGCTATGTGTGTAGTGGCTGTTCTCCAGCTCGCCTGCGTTGGGCTCGAACTTTGTCTTCCAATGTGGTTTTGCCAATGTGGCGTCTGGGCGCGACTTCTTCCTGCCTTGTCCTGAGCCGATTTGTTTTTCATCGGGAGCTCGCATACTGTCACCCCACTTTTTTCTGGTACATTCATCACGAGGATCGGATTTCATGCAGCTCCACCTGCAGCCCCAGTTGGGGAACTCGCAGATCATGCTCCACAGCGAGCTCCAACAACGGTCCCAGTGGGGGATAGCATGGCCTAGCCAACTTCGGCTCACCCTTCGCGAGGACCGGTTTCCATCGGGAGCTCCAACTACGTCCCCATCGGGAGCATTCGCATAGCGTCACCTCGGCCAATGCTGTAGTGTCTTCTTCAGGATGGTCCCCCGGCGCCATGTGGCGCAATGCGGCACGCTCCCAGCAAGCCACTGTGCCAACTGCCACCTCGTCGTCTCTTTTGGAGACGGTTGGATAATATCTTCCATGTCGCCAAGCTTCAAACAATATGGGGTGAACCTGATCAGGTCTTGCCACAGGGAGCGACAACCCCACAAGAGAATGCCAGCACAGACGCATGGCGAAATTGGAATACGGATTCGCCGACTATTCAATGCAGTGTCTCTTATATGGCGTTGGGCGTGGCGGCAACAAGACATATAACGACTATGCCGTGGAGGTCCCATCTCTCCAACCTCGCTTTCCAATTTTCCGACTCTAGCTCCCAAGATTTCGATTCCAAAATCTATCTCTCCGACTCCGGGTCCCGACTTCCCCTTTCAGGTTCCCATCCTACCCGCTCCAGCTCCCATCCCTCTGATTCAGAGTCACGGCTTTTCCGACTCCAGCTCCCATCTCTCCAATTCCAGCTCCCATCGCTCCGACTTCGGCTACCAATTGTCCGACCCCAGCTCTTATCTCCAAGACTTTGGCTCCCAATTTTCCCGTCTCCAGCTCCCGTCTTTCCGAATCCGGCGGCCATGCTGGTGTCTCCGACTGCGACTCCCATCTATCCGACTCCGGCACCCCACTCTCCGACTCCAGCTCCTGTCTTTCCGACTCCAGCTCCCAACTTTCCACTTTCTATTCCCGTCTCTCCGACACTAGCGGCCGTACTGGTGTCTCCGACCCCGGCTCCAAAGTTTCCGACTCTGGCTCCTATCTCTCTGACTCCGGGTCCCAACTTTTCTTTGGCTCCAGCTCCTACACCTCCGACCTTCCGACTCCGACATGCGCACGTCTTCGATTCGGGCGTCCTGCCGATTCCCATCCACGTGTTGATGTAAACCCACCCCGTCTGCGAACACCCAACGATTAATGAGCGGCCGGCCGGCTTCCTCTGCGATCGTCCTTTCCTTGTCCTCCCTCCTCCTCGCTCTGTAGCAACGTGCCACCTTAGCGTGACACGCCTGTATTTTCCCACCCTGCAGCACCCCTGCGGTGCAAGTCGGGCGGGCCCAGAGTCGAGATAAATTAGTTCCAGAGCTTTCCCGAACGCTCTCAGAGCGCTCTGGAACGCTCTGAAACGGCCGCGGCGTCCGATAGGTCCTCCAAACCCGCCGATTCTCAGAGATTTCCGATTTACATCGGTCCGATTTTGTCTCGATTCTGCCTTCGTCTTAGAGTCCGAGTCCGAGCTCTTGTCTCTCCTCGAGCCTGCAGACGGCGCGGCGGCGCAGCAGGCTCGGCGGAGGCATGCCTAGGAGCGGTCTGGGGTTCGGTATCGTTTATCCGATCTCCATCCCCATCTCCATCCCCTTCGAGACCCCCACCAAATTGCCTCCCCAGTTGGGGATGCACCCCTCGAAACTCGAAGGGAACGACCTATATCCCCATCTAGGGGGGGTAAATCGGCCAGTGGGGCCCAGGCCACGCCGCTGGGGGCGCGCATCAAGAAACCATCTACTTTTCGTCAGGGTACCCTGGGTTTCTTCGCTCCGCGCGATGCGCGGTGACTTCCCGCGGCCGTTGAAGGAGCCGCTGCGTTCGGGGTACTCCGGGTTTCCCCTCAGTTGCACCTCGCGCGCGGGTTTTCAGTGTTGGGTTTCTTGCGAGGGTTTCTTGCGACCGCGCCCGCACTGTATCGGTGCCTGAGTCTGCCCTTCTGGGCGGCACCCCGCACAGAGGTACAGTGCGAGGACCCATCGTAGCTGTATGTCTTTGGGCGAAATCCGCTTTGCATGCGCCACGGCGGGCTGGGCCATGGAGTCATCGATTTTAGTCATTTCTCATTGGAAGGCTCTCTTCCTCCTCCCTTTCCTCTTCCTCGATTCTTCTCTTCCTCGTTTGATTTCTCGTCCCCCACTCCTCTTCCCCCGGCGCGCCGGTCAAACCTAACCCCTGTGCGCGGCCAGGTCACATGTAA